AACCCGATTTTAAAATACAAAACTCCAATTCGTAAGTTTAACACACCATACAAAAATACACAAATCAAATTCAAAACTTTAAAACATGATTCAAAGATACACAAATCCAATTCGTAAGTTTAACAAGATTTAAAAATTTGCGATACCAATTCGTAAGTTTAAAACACAATACAAAAATTTGCAACTCCAATTCATAAGTTTAATACAACATTTAAAAATTTGCAAATCCAATTTGTAAGTTTAAAACTTGATTCAAAAATATGCAAATCCAATTCATTTGGGAAAAATATTTTCAGAATCAAAAGAATCTCACCCTTCAGTAATAGACACAGGTTCTCCTCTGCTGATCTCTGCACAGGAATAGCATTAGCATCTGCACGATGATACGTCACACTTTCGTTCTCCAGATCCCAGTAGGCCAGAACCGTATTAGCGTTAGCAGGAGAAACGAACGTAATTAGTGCTGAAAACTCTGACACGTTGAGTCCTGCTGGTGTGGCTCCATCTGGCACATTAAAAGACATAACGGCGCCCCCTGTCTTCACGGAGGAATGGCAGAGTTTAGCTGTAGCGGCTGCGCGACGGCATTCGATGTGAGGAAAGTCTTTATACCAGGGTGAAATGTAAACGGGACGAACAGGAGCTTTAGTTTGATTGTAGAGCGCAGACAGACGAGACTCCCATGACCTGAAGATGACAGAATGAACATGTCTGAGCAGAAAGACAGAAAACAGTAAGTGTGCGGCTGGTTTAAACAGTACCGGTCGGCCTGCAGGGGTTTATTCAGCACTGACAGACTGTGGGTGGAGCTGGAGAGACTGTCCTGATCACAGGATTCAACAGGCCTGAGGAATGGACGAATGGGGGCCGCACGGCAGTATAAGTGATCGGGATACACACTGAAACACACACACACAATAGATATACGTAAATAAAAAAAACAGCTGTAAATTACTTTTGTTTATTTATACACAGTCACAAATATATATATATATATATATATATATATATATATATATATATATATATATATATATATATATATATATATATATATATATATATATATATATATATATATATATATATATATATATATATATATATATATATATATATATATATATATATATATATATATATATATATATATATATATATATATATATATATATATATATATATATATATATA